GAAAATTTGTCAAATGGGTCGTGTTGTCCTCTTCTATTGCTTTCATGACACTTTTAATTGCTTTTTTCTCCTCCAGTCTTCTTCTTTAATAAGTTTCCCCTTCAACTTCCTGGAGCCCTCAAACAAAAACTGACCTCTCCCTTTCATCCTCCCACTGGAATTCTCTTTCCATCCCCTGAGTCAATTTAGTTGCCTCCAATGCAGTATTCCTTCCTCAATCTCTTCTATAGCTGATGTCCCTATGCTCAGTGGTCTGTCATTTTTCCTTCTCAGCTTTTCCTGTTGTCTGTTAGGGCATCTTCATTTTCTTCAGTCCACTCATTTGTTCCTGTTGTGCTTCTCATCTTTTCCCAGGCTGCACAGTGGTCTGATAGGGCCACCATGAAGAGTATAGCTCCTTTGTTCCCTACATTTCCCTCGTCTGTGAGTGAAGTAGCAGTTCCAGATGTCACTTCCTTACACTGTTTCATATTTTTTAGTTCCTCTTCTAAGCTCTGTATCTTAGCTTATGCTGCAATGGCTTGTAGCTCCTATTTCCGGTTCTCTGCACCTACCCTCTCCTCCATTTTCTTGCTAAGTTCTTCTAGCTTCCTTCCCCACTCTTACTTACTTTTCATGAGATCTGCCACCCAATCCTCCCTCTTTGGCAAGCCTTGTTTTCCACCACAGAAAGAAAACCCTGTGTGTTTTCGTTTGGTTGTTTTGATGTACTCACCTAGTTGAGGTTGCGGGGGTCGAGTCCGAGTGTGTGTGTGTGTGTGTGTGTGTGTGTGTGTGTGTGTGTGTGTGTGTGTGTGTGTGTGTACTCACCTATTTCTACTCACCTGTTTGTGGTTGCAGAGGTTGAGACTCAGCTCCTGGCCTGGCCTCTTCACTGATCACTACTAGGTCCTCTCTCTCCCTCCTCCCTGAGCATTATCATACCTCGTCTTAAAACTATGTACGGTTCCTGCCTCCATTACATCACTCGCCAGACTATTCCACTTCCTGACAACTCTGTGACTGAAGAAATACTTCCTAACATCCCTTTGACTCATCTGAGTCTTCAGCTTCCAATTGTGACCAATTGTTTCTGTGTCCGATCTCTGGAACATACTGTCTCTGTTCACCTTATCTATTCCTCGCAGTATTTTGTATGTCGTTATCATGTCTCCCCTAACCCTCCTGTCCTCCAGTGTCGTCAGACCAATTTCCCTTAACCTTTTCTCGTAGGACATTCTTGTAGGACATTTCTCTATTTTCTTGATGTGCTTGACCAGATGTGGGTTCCAAACTGGTGCTGCATACTTCAGTATGGGTGTGACGTACACAGTGTACAGAGTCTTGAACGATTCCTTACTGAGGTATCGGAATGCTATTCTCAGGTTTGCCAGGCGCCCATAAGCTGCATCAGTTATCTGATTGATGTGCACTTCCGGAGACATGTTCGGTATTATACTCACCCAAAAATCTTTCTCCTTGAGTGAGGTTTGCAGTCTTTGGCCTATACTCTGTCTGCAGTCTTCTTTGCCCTTCCCCGATCTTCATGATTTTGCATTTGGTGGAGTTAAAATCCAGGAGCCAGTTGCTGGACCATGCATCCAGTCTGTCCGGGTCACTTTATAGTCCTGCCTGATCCTCATCTGATTTAATTCTCCTTATTAACTTCACATCATCTGCAAAGAGGAACACTTCTGAGTCTATCCCTTCCATCGTGTCATTCACATATACAAAAAATAGCACTGGACCTAGGACTGACCCCTGTGGGACCCCGCTCGTCACATGCGCCCACTGTGATACCTCATCACTTACCATGGCTCGTTGTTGCCTCCCACTCAGGTATTCTCTGATCCATTGAAGTGCCCTTCCTGTTATATGTGACTGATCCTCTAGTTTCTGCACTAATCTCTTGTGAGGAACTGTTTCGGAGGCCTTCTTGCAGTCCGAGAAAATGCAATCAACCTACCCTTCTCTCTCGTGTCTTCTGTTTCTTTGTCATAAAACTCCAGAAGGTTTGTGACACAGGATGTGCCTTCCATGAATAAGTGCTGTTTGTTGTATATAATCTTCTTCTGTTTCAGGTGCTCCACCACTCTCCTCCTGATGATCTTCTCCATGACTTTAAATACCATATACGTCAGTGACACTGGTTTATAGTTTAGTGCCTCTTTTCTGTCTTCCATACCTCAGGTAGTTGCCCAGTTTCAAGGGATGTGTTGAAAATTGTGGTTAATGGCACACACACAGTGCCTCTGCTCCCTCTCTAAGCACCCACTGAGAGATGTTGTCCGGTCCCACCGCCTTTGAGGTGTCAAGGTCACTTAGCATCTTCTTCACCTCCTCCTAAGTTGTGTGTATTTCATCTAACACTTGTTGGTATTTTCCTTGTTTGCGTTCCCCTCTGCTCTGTCTTCCAAGAGTCCTTTCTGTCTCCAACGTAAATACTTCCTTAAATCTCGTGTTGAGCTCCTCACATACCTCTTGATCGTTTCTCGTGAGCTCCCCACCTTCTTTCCTCACCCTGATCACCTGGTCTTTGACTATTGTCTTCCTCTTAATGTGGTTATACAGCAGTTTCGGGTCAGTCTTGACTTTCGATGCTATGTTGTTTCGTACTGTAGCTAGCCTCCCTCCTTATCTGTGCATACTCCTATCTGGCTCTTTGACTAATATCCTTATTTTCCTGAGTTCTTTGCCTTCTGTACTTTCTCCATTCTCTAGTGCACTTAGTTTTTGCCTCCCTACACCTTCGGGTAAACCAGGGGCTCGTTCTGGTCTTCCAATTATTTCTGTTGTCCTTGGGAACAAACCTTTCCTCTGCCTCCTTGTATTTTGTTGTTATGTAGTCCATCATTTCGTTTACTGGCTTTCCAGCCAATTCTCTGTCCCACTGAACCTCCTGCAGGAAGTTCCTCATACCTGTGTAGTCCCCCATTTTATAGTTTGGCTTTACCCATTCTACTCCTGTTGCCTTCTCCTCTTGTAACTCTACTATGTATTCAAAGCTCAAAACCATATGATCACTAGCTCCAAGGGGCCTCTCATATGTGATGTCCTCAATATCCGAGCTGCTCAGGGTGAATACGAGGTCCAGTCTTGCTGGTTCATCTTCCCCTTTCTTTCTGGTAGCGTCCCTAACATGTTGGTGCATGAGGTTTTCCAGTACCACATCCATCATCTTGGCTCTCCATGTTTTGGGACCCCCATGTGGCTCCAGGTTTTCCTAATCAATCTCCCTGTTGTTGTAATCGCCCATATCCAGTAACTTTGCTCTGCTCGAGTGAGCTCTTCTGGCCACCTCAGCTAGTATGTCCACCATTGTTCTGTTGCTCTCTTCATATCACTGTAATGACTATGTTATGTTCCCAAGTCTGAATTGTACCAACTATGTATTCTCTTTGTCCAATATCGTCCATTCCTTCCATTTCCTCAAATCCCCATCGGTTTTTAACGAGCAGTGCAACCCCTTCTCCCCCTCTGCTTCTATCTTTCCTCAGGATCTGATATCCGGGTGGGAAGATTGCGTCTGTTATTGTCTCAGTGAGTTTCGTTTCTGTAAGTGCTATGATGTCTGGGGATGTCTCATTGATTCTTTCATGCCACTCCTCACATTTATTCGTTATTCCATCCGCATTCGTATACCAAACCTGCAACTTAAACTGTGGTTTGGGGAGAATGGTGTGGTTGGGGTGTGGAAGCTCTGGCAGGGACCTATAAGGGGTTACGGTGGAGGTGAGGTCTGTTATGAGGGGGTGGGGGCAGAGTGCCTATGGGGGTTGCTGTAGGGGTGGGGTTTGTGATGTAGGAGGTGAGGACAGAAGGAACAGTGTGTGGGTTTTGGTTTAGAATGTTCAGCTGCATTAGGGTTGTTGTGATTTGATGTGAAAGACTTTACATTCTGAATATAGATATGTCTAGAATTTGTTTTAGGAACTTTCCACGGAATTAAGTAAAGGACAGCTATAGTAACTCCAAGGACAGAGAGCTTTAGTTTACGGTGGCCTGTGGCCTGGTGGCAGAAGCTCTTGTTTCTCATGTTGAGTGTCTGGGTTCAATTCTCGGCAAGGGTTGAAACATTGAGCGTGTTTCCTTATACCGGTTGTCTATGTTCACTCATCAGTAAAATGGGTACCTGGGTGTTATTCGACTGGTGTGGGTCGCATCCTGGGAAAAAATAATGCGAATTTACCCGAAATGCTCTGCATAACAAGCAGCTTTCTGTATAGTAGTATGTAAATAACAAAAAAAGGCACAATACCGTGACTGGAACGATACACAGATAACCCGCACATAGAAGAGAGGAGCTTACGACGACGTTTCGGTCCGACTTGGACCATTTACAAAGTCACAGTGTGACTTTGTCACTGATGCCAGCTAGGACTGTATACCTTGTACATGTACTTGTAGAAATAAACATATTATTACTGTTATCTGTCCCACCAGACTCTTTGAGCAGATGCTAGTCTAACTCAATCTGGCAGGAGCAGGCCTAAATTCCTTGGAATGGAACCATGACAGTTAAGACAATTCAGAGCTTTTGTATATGACTCCTGTTATAGGTTATGCACGAAAGCCTCAGTTATAAAGGAATTGAGATTGAATAACCTGCAGCTACCATTATATAACGAATATATATCATGTTAAATTAATAATTGCCAATTATAAAATATTTCTTTCTAGCCATGAAGGACATTCAACCATAACTTTTGTTTCCGACCAATTAGCAGGATTGTTGTAAACTCGTTTGTGGTTGAATACTGCATTTGATTCTTGAACTGTCCTTACTGATGTTGTGTTATCCTAGCATCTAGATATACTGCCCCGTGAAGTTAAGTGGTTCCGATATGTGGATGACATCATGTGTCTTTGGGCGAATTATTTGGACCTGAACACAGTTTTACTGAGACTTAGCTCTATGTCCCCTCTATTTTAAATTCACCGTAGAGAAAAAGTGAACTTTAAACTTCCATTATACAAAGCTGAAAGAGATAAAGAGAGGCTGTCAAAGTATTGTTGCTGACCTGAATTAGAGGTCCTGGCATCTGCTTGTTGATCACAATAATGGGACGCACTACACCGTCTCCAGGAATACACTGTGGCCGCTCACAATCCGTGAGGTTATTAGGACAGTTGTAACACGCCCTGAGAGAAAAAGTAATTAGTCTCCGTTTATTCTAAGGCGTAATTTGGAGCATTAGTAGTGTTATGTTGTTATTCCTATAAAGGATACTACACTGTTACTGATAAACTTATCACGGTATTGACCTTATTAAAAAACAGGTTACCATGATTAACTCTCATAAATATTAAAGTTATCATGTGACTAGGGCTATAATAGCAATTATTTAGTTATTGTAGTTGTCACAGCATTAATGTTACGCGGCAGTTTAATTTACTAAGAAAAATATAAAATATTACACCAATAATTAAAAGACTAGGTAGGTTATATTTCAATATTTGTATCTGAGCAAACTTTGCAGGTTGACACGAGGCAGGACAGAAGGTAGCAGGTTACTGTTTACTGATGAACAAGTACCTGGATGACATGCCAAGAACTTCTGTGATAATTTACTGAAATCCAGAAGTGCCAGAGTGGCGACAAAATTTGCTGTTTCAGAAAGAAATCACTAAGACTAGAGTGAACAGCAGTTTAGTATAGACATGATTCAGTGGGATGACCACCAGGAAGCAGTCAGCCGATCATCGAAGAAGGAAGTCAGAGATGAAGGCAGCACCAAGTGTGTCAAGTATAAAGTGTAACAGAACAGTAAAATGCTGTGTAATGATGCAACTGAATAGCGAGACATATTAGCACAGTGAAGTGCTGCAATAGTGTTGGATGGGTATGATGGGTACTTGTATCTTAGGGATGGGACGGTGCCAATATGTTTGCTCATACCGTCGCCGATAATCATTTTTAGACCACTGCGGATACTGGTGTCGATACCAATACTGATACATTTCCTAGTTTTTTTTAATTTTAAAATTATGATAACTAGGTTCAATATAAATGGGAATGTTTATTGCTCATTAGTATTAAATAAATCAGGAAAGTTAAATATTAAATAACTTAATTTCTGTAAAATGCTAATGTCATTAGTAATTAAAGACACCAAAGTCAGGTTTACAAATTGAAGAAAATAAACATTAAATTTCTGAATCTTTCTCCGTATTTAGTAATCTGATGAAAACATAATCGAAAATCAATTACTAAAATAAAAGTCTGAATAATTTCCAGATATGTTAAACATGAAATTAAATTTTCCAAGTCATAACTGGAAATTTAAAACAAAAAATTATATAGTTAAGAGCTTAAGCAACTTCTCTCAATTATTAAACTGAATTAATGACACATTTCCATCACAGTTGATTTTTTTAACTTTAGTGGTAAACACTAAAAAAAAAAAACAGAAAAAACATGCGTTGTAATACCTTAAATTAAAAATTAAGAAAAATGTTCAAAGTGAAGTTAAGGAACATTAACATTTTGAGAAGCTAAAGTGTTCTAAGAGGAGACTAGACCTTCAGTGTGAACAGTCTTTCATCGTCTTGTTTCTAAGAGGAGACTAGACCTTCAGTGTGAACAGTCTTTCATCGTCTTGTTTCTAAGAGGAGACTAGACCTTCAAGTGTGAACAGTCTTTCATCGTCTTGTTTCTAAGAGGAGACTAGACCTTCAGTGGAACAGTCTTTCATCGTCTTGTTTCTAAGAGGAGACTAGACCTTCAGTGTGAACAGTCTTTCATCGTCTTGTTTCTAAGAGGAGACTAGACCTTCAGTGTGAACAGTCTTTCATCGTCTTGTTTCTAAGAGGAGACTAGACCTTCAGTGTGAACAGTCTTTCATCGTCTTGTAATGGGTTAAACACAAAAATATACTGGCGAGGTTTACCAGAGATGGAAGCACGTTCACTTGTTCTTACTAACTCCAGTTGACTGACTTTTTTGGACAATTATCATATATTTGTCTCTTTTTGTTTTCATGTTTGTGATAATGTGAGAAACAGCAAGTAGGTTTTACTGATGCTGTTTTTTGTGACTTGGAAAATAATTCTGATTTGTTACATGTTGTTATATGCTATTGTTACATGTTATTGTTACATGCTGTTGTTACATGTTATTGTTACATGCTGTTGTTACATGCTGTTGTTACATGCTGTTGTTACATGCTATTGTTACATGTTATTGTTACATGCTATTGTTACATGTTATTGTTATATGCTATTGTTACATGTTATTGTTACATGTTATTGTTATATGCTGTTGTTACATGTTATTGTTACATGCTATTGTTACATGTTATTGTTACATGCTATTGTTACATGTTATTGTTACATGCTATTGTTACATGTTATTGTTATCTGCTGTTGTTACATGTTATTGTTACATGTTATTGTTATATGCTATTGTTACATGTTATTGTTACATGTTATTGTTATATGCTGTTGTTACATGTTATTGTTACATGTTATTGTTATATGCTGTTGTTACATGTTATTGTTACATGCTATTGTTACATGTTATTGTTATCTCCTGTTGTTACGTGTTATTGTTATCTGCTGTTGTTACATGTTATTGTTACATGTTATTGTTATATGCTATTGTTACATGTTATTGTTATCTGCTGTTGTTACATGTTATTGTTATCTGCTGTTGTTACATGTTATTGTTACATGTTATTGTTACATGCTATTGTTACATGTTATTGCTATCTGCTGTTGTTACATGTTATTGTTACATGTTATTGTTACATGCTATTGTTACATGTTATTGTTATCTGCTGTTGTTACATGTTATTGTTACATGTTATTGTTATATGCTATTGTTACATGTTATTGTTACATGTTATTGTTATATGCTGTTGTTACATGTTATTGTTACATGTTATTGTTATATGCTGTTGTTACATGTTATTGTTACATGCTATTGTAACATGTTATTGTTACATGCTATTGTTACATGTTATTGTTACATGTTATTGTTATATGCTATTGTTACATGTTATTGTTACATGTTATTGTTATATGCTATTGTTACATGCTGTTGTTACATGCTATTGTTACATGTTATTGTTATATGCTATTGTTACATGTTATTGTTACATGCTATTGTTACATGTTATTGTTATATGCTATTGTTACATGCTATTGTTACATGCTGTTGTTACATGTTATTGTTACATGCTATTGTTACATGTTATTGTTACATGCTATTGTTATATGTTATTGTTATATGTTATTGTTACATGCTATTGTTACATGTTATTGTTATATGCTATTGTTACATGCTGTTGTTACATGTTATTGTTACATGTTATTGTTATATGCTATTGTTACATGCTATTGTTACATGCTGTTGTTACATGTTATTGTTATATGCTATTGTTACATGTTATTGTTACATGCTATTGTTACATGTTATTGTTACATGCTATTGTTATATGTTATTGTTATATGCTATTGTTACATGTTATTGTTACATGTTATTGTTATAAGCTATTGTTACATGCTATTGTTACATGCTGTTGTTACATGTTATTGTTATATGCTATTGTTACATGTTATTGTTACATGCTATTGTTACATGCTATTGTTACATGTTATTGTTACGTGCTATTGTTATATGTTATTGTTATATGCTATTGTTACATGCTATTGTTACATGTTATTGTTATATGCTATTATTACATGCTGTTGTTACATGCTATTGTTACATGTTATTGTTACATGCTGTTGTTACATGCTGTTGTTACATGCTGTTGTTACATGTTGTTACATGCTGTTGTTACATGCTATTGTTACATGTTATTGTTACATGCTATTGTTACATGCTGTTGTTACATGCTGTGGTTACATGCTGTTGTTACATGTTATTGTTATATGCTGTTGTTACATGCTGTTGTTACATGCTGTTGTTACATGCTGTTGTTACATGCTGTTGTTACATGCTGTTGTTACATGCTGTTGTTACATGCTATTGTTATATGCTGTTGTTACATGCTGTTGTTACATGCTGTTGTTACATGCTGTTGTTACATGCTGTTGTTACATGCTGTTGTTACATGCTGTTGTTACATGTTATTGTTACATGTTATTGTTACATGCTGTTGTTACATGCTGTTGTTACATGCTGTTGTTACATGCTGTTGTTACATGCTGTTGTTACATGCTGTTGTTACATGCTGTTGTTACATGCTGTTGTTACATGCTATTGTTACATGCTGTTGTTACATGCTATTGTTACATGTTATTGTTACATGCTGTTGTTACATGCTGTTGTTACATGCTGTTGTTACATGCTGTTGTTACATGCTATTGTTACATGCTGTTGTTACATGCTATTGTTACATGCTGGTGTTAGGAATGTTGGCTACAGTTTCTTTATAACATTTATCATTACTGATCCTTGTTGCAAAATCTTGAGTTCATTAGACTTGACGCTGCTTGTTGCTCCTTGCAAACCAATTATGCTCTGACATCTTCAACTGCTGAATTATTTCCTGAGTATCTTTCAGTTCATTCTCAATATTGCCAATGTTTTTGAAAATAAATGGTATAAAATACCGACACAATGGAAACATAAACACATATGCAGTTTAATGTGATCCTTTATTGACAACGTTTCGCCCACACAGTGGGCTTTTTCAAAGCCCACTGTGGGCGAAACGTTGTCAATAAAGGATCACATTATACTGCATATGTGTTAATGTTTCCAATATTTGTTTTACATGACTTTCCCACCGCAATAACACTGAAGAAGCAATTCTTATATTATGGATCTAAAAGAAATGTGCTGAGTATCTTGTTGTAGTCAGTTGTATAATCTTCCAGCCTAAATAATATTGGCACTATGAGAGGAGATAGTGTGTTACACAAGCCTGAGAATCTTTCATCACTCAAAGCTTTGTTGAGGAAATTTATCAAGTATTGTGCTGGACACAATATTCCTCACACCAGACAATTTCTTTTCTTAAGAAGAGATAACTTTTCAATAACATTCAATTTATTCCCATCAAATGACGTTATGTGTTTGTTATCTAGGCAGTACAATACATTTTGTTGTTGCTCACAGATGTTATCTACCATGTATTAGAAAGATACATTGGGTATAAATTTGTGCTTTGGAAATTCTTTTTTTTTTTTTTTTTTTTTTTTTTGAGGTGCATCTTGTTAACTGTAGGTAAGAGAATGACTGAAGTGGCTCACATTGTAGTAATTCTAGAGACTTTAACTTTAGTCATGTTGATTGGAATTTCTTGACTGGGAATTTAGAATCATACGACTTCTTAGAAGTAGTTCAGAATTGTTTTTTGAAGCAGTTTGTGACAGAACCTACAAGGGGTAATAACCTGCTTGACTTAGTTCTGGCAAACAATGAATCCCTTGTTAATAATTTAGAAATTTCAGAGGAACTGGGTGCTAGCGACCACAAATCAATTACATTTAGCATTGAATGGTAGTACGATAGTAGCGATAACTCAGTAACAGTCCCAGATTTTCGCTTAGCAGATTACGATGGGCTTAGAGAACACTTATCATCTGTTGACTGGGGTAACGAAGAGAGCTATCAATATGACGGTTTTCTGAACACTATACATGCTGCTCAAATAGCGTTTATCCCATATAAAGAAATTAGATCAAATAGAAATGACCCAAAATGGATGAATAATAGGCTCAAATATCTACTAGGGCATAAGAAAGGAATTTATAGGCGTATCAAAAGAGGCGAGGGTCATCTTATGAATCAGTATATTGACATTAAGAGGGACATTAAAAAGGGGATAAGAAAAGCTAAAAGGGACTATGAAATTAAAGTTGCTAGGGATTCTAAAACTAACCCAAAAAGTTTTTTCCAGGTCTATAGAACAAAAGTTAGAGATAAGATAGGTCCCCTTAAAAATAACTATGGGCACCTTACTGACAAAGAGAATGAAATGTGCTTGATTTTAAATAATTATTTTCTC